CTGGATGGGACCCAGTGGTGCCCAGCCAACAGTCCCAGTTGCTCATGCTTCCTCCTCCCTCCCGTTAACCAGCGCATGTTTCCTCCTTGTCCCTCTCCTTTCCACCACCCAATGGTCCACGTTACCCCGCGGCCGTGCCAGCAGCCGCCTCTCCCTCTGTGTCCCACCGCCACACGCATCACCCCATCCCCACACACGCTGGCTGAGGGTCTCTCCCCGACCTCCCCTATCCCGTGGAAGGGATATTTTTGATGCTTCTTTGGCTTTTAAGCACAGGCGGTGGTTTTTCCTTCCCTCCCCTCCTCCTTCCAGGGCAGAGGATGGCCTCAGCCCTCCCGCTGCTGCTGCTCTGGGTGTTTGCCCCCACGGTGGTCCCAGAGGTGTTTGGCGCCGGAGATGGCACAGGTAATTCGGCATCGTCGGCTGCGGCCGCAGCGCTCCCTGCCCCACGGGTGCCCCGCGGTGGGGGTCTGGGGGACACACACCCCGTATCGGTCCCACTCATGGCTCCTCTCTTCTCCCACCCAGAGGACCTCAAGGCTCTGCAGGTCTCCATCCCACGCCACCCAGCCCTGGACGCCGTGCTGGCAGGCGACATCACCATCCCCTGCCTCATCACCTACCTCGGCCCCCAGCCCACCGCCGGCACGGCCGGCCGCAGGGCGGTCCTGGGAACCCCCCGGGTCAAGTGGACCTTCATCTCTGAGGGCAGAGAGGTGGAGATCTTGGTAGCCCGAGGGGACAGGGTGAAGGTGAGCGAGGACTACCGCCTCCGCGCCTCCCTGCCCATCTTCCACCAGCGCTACACCAACGCCTCCCTGCTGCTCACCGAGCTGCGGCCCAACGACTCGGGGATCTACCGCTGCGACGTGCAGCACGGCATCGAGGACGGCCATGACATCCTCGATGTCAAAGTCAAAGGTACCTGGTGGTGGGGCGCGGCGGCACTCGGGGCAGGGGGGTGCAGAGGTCCACCCTACCCACGGTGCCTTCTCCGGGCTCAGCAAACCCCTCCTGCACCCGGGGGCAGATGTACCCATGTGGGTGGGGGTCTGCCCAAAGTTGCCCCTGGGTGCAGATGGACCCCTATGGGTGGGGGGCTGATGGAAAGATGCCCCCAGGTACAGATGCACCTGTATGGGTGGGGGGCTGCCCAAAGTTGCCCCTGGGTGCAGATGGACCCCTATGGGTGGGGGGCTGCCGGAAAGGTGCACCTGGGTAAAGATGTACCCCTATGGGTGGGGGTCTGCCCAAAGGTGCACCCGGGTACAGATGTACCCATGTGGGTGGGGGTCTGCCCAAAGATGCCCCCAGGTACAGATGCACCCATGTGGGTGGGGGTCTGCCCAAAGGGGCACCCGGGTACAGATGTACCCGTACAGGTGGGGGTCTGCCCAAAGATGCCCCTGGGTGCAGATGGACCCCTATGGGTGGGGGGCTGCTGGAAAGATGCCCCCAGGTACAGATGCACCCGTATGGGTGGGGGGCTGCCCAAAGTTGCCCCTGGGTGCAGATGGACCCCTATGGGGGGGGGGCTGCCGG